CATACACTTCTTTGAGAATCATTCACGGAGCACAAGTAATCATGGCTTCAATTTTCAGTCTTTGGGATTAAATCTCCATCTTTCCTTAAATACAAGTCTTCTGTGAAAATATTTACTGTTGTTTATTATTTTTCAATCCCAGCTCTGATAAAAATGACATTGATTGATTTATAATGAATGCAATCTTTTTAAATTTTTTTATTTGTTCTTTTTAGATATACGTGACAGTAGAGTGTATTTTGACATATTATACATTCCTGGAATGTAACTTTTCCTAATTAGGATTGCTTTCTGTGGTTGTACATGATGTGGACTTAAACTGGTCATGATTCATATACGAACATAGGAAAGTAAATATTTTTTAATCTGCTGATCATATATATTTCTTATTGAAGGATTTTATGTTTTCACCTTTTACTTTTTTGGTCCTGGTATTGAATCCACAGTGTTCTACCACTGAGCTACATCCCAGGTCCTCTTTTTTATTTATTTATTTTTTTAAATTTTGAGACAGAGTCTTACTAAGTTGTTGAGGGTCTCACTAAGTTATTGATACTGCCCTTGAACTTGCACTCATCCTGCCTCCACAATAGCGGAGATTTCAGGCAGGCAAGCACCACCACTTCTGTGCATTTTTTAACTGGGTCACAATAGCCAAACTATGGAAAAAACCTAGTTGTCTTTCAATGGATGAATGGAAAAAGAGACTGTGGTAAATATAAACAATGGAATATTACTCAGCTATAAAGAAGAATGAATACAATCATTTAATCATTTATGGAAATTATATGCAGCTAATGTATTATTACATCCTTCACAATTTTCTTCAAAGGCATTGTATCTATGTCAAATACACGTAGTCAAAGGTATTATATCAGTGTCAAATACAGAGTACAATATCAAAATTAGAAACTTTACCATCAGTATAACTTTTTTCAAACAACTATCCTAATAATTTGTACTAACTTAAATAAAGACCACATAGCATTATCTTCTTCATATATTCTTATCTAAATTGTAATGCTATAGATCGAGGAGACATAAAATGGATAGATGTCAAATGTATCATTTCTTTCTAGCTTTCTTCAATCACATCTTTTTGACTTGGAAATGGCCTAGTTTTATTCTTACATTTGTTGTAAGCAGACATAGCTCGAGACTGATCACAAGAAATTCTGGATGTTAAATCATTAGAATAATGATCAGAGCATGACCACTCATTTTAATGCTCTAGGTTTTAACTAAGATCCACATGTTTTAATATGTCTTCAGATGCAGAGGTCAAGTAGAGCAATCTGGCCTTCAGGAAATATAGTAAACTGGATATTTTTTTCTTTATATAGTTTTATATATACATAGCAATAAAATATAACAATGTATTCAGTTATCATAATGTCTCTGAAAATATGGTCTTGATTAATGGGAAATTTGATAATTTTTACTGAGTGAAAAATTATCCAAGTATTGTAGTGTAAATTATCTAATTAATTTCATGCTCAATTTCATTTTATTACAATGAATGTATGTTATTTATTGCACCCATCAGAAAATCAGTATTAAAATTGTCTAGAACTTTGAGTTTAAAGTGCTTACATCTTTCAAGTTCTATCGTTTTTTATAAATCTTCCATAGACAATCAAATTTACCCTAAAGGTCAGAGATAGAAATTGCTTAAGTAATAATTGGCAGATTTGATCAAATTTTCTAATAGCCTTAAATTAACTTAAGGCCTTGAAGTCACTGACAATGTTGTGAACATATCACATAGTAAGCTAATAGTATGTATTTGTCGATTATTCTCTTATCTCTGTATTACATTTAGAAGAAACAAAAGTGTGATTGATGAGCCCTGGTATCTATAATTTATATTTAAATGAGGTAGAGAAGGTAGAGAAGGGAATATAATTATCAATAATGTCTCATTTGTTTAGGAAAAATTCTTACTGATCAAAGATATTTGTTGATGCCACTGACGGGTCTGTCAGAGCTGTTTTGAAAAGTTATTGATGTTTTAGTTTTATTTTGAAGATAGGAGATAGTTAACCATGTGGACATGTGAAAAAGGGAGACAAAGGCAAGAAAAACCATTTGAGCCAATGCAAAATGTTAGGAACCTGTGAGTCAGTGGAGAGAGGGTGAGAATCAATCTTAGTATCTATAGCTACAGAAAAATTGGAGAGAAGTAACTGGAAATAAACTGGAAAAAGGTAAGTTTATATCAATTAAAATGTGAATAATAATTGATTCATTGGATGACATAAATCCACTTTGAAGGTTTTCAATAAGAGTATTTGTTACAAGAAATATGAGCATGTATCAGCCAGGAAACTTTTTTAAAGAGAAAGGTTATTTAGATAAAAGTCAGGAAAAATATGGTGACTGATGAAATATTTTGAATTAAATTCATTGAACAGATTTCTTTAAAGGAAAAAAAAGAAAAGTATAAAAAACAAGTGATATTTACAGAGTTCCTATCTTCAAGAGTTGGAAATTGATTCAGTGGACCAAAAAGGAAATAATGAGCAGTGACCAAAGTTTGGATGAAGCAGAATGTGTTCAGATTGAATAGAATTAGTACACATTCAACTGAAAGCTGAGGGCTGGAGAGTACAGCATTAGATTTCAGTAAAAAAATGAATACTGAAAAATAAAAATGTTGATGGCACATTATAAAAGATGTCTGTAGTAGAAAGTATAAGTAGAAAAAATAAAGAGAATGAGGCACAAAATTATAATTTCCCCTTTCCTTTCAACACTGACTTCCTTTCCTTCTTTCCCTTCTATCCATTGACTTGCTCAAGTCTTCTCCAATATATTAAATTCCTGTCAAATGCCCAGATTGTGGATCCAAATAACTCTACCCATCTCCTCAAGATGAAGTTACTCATGAAGACATTGTCTAGTTTCTTGTTTTCTGACATTTGCTACCATTGATGCCCATTCCACTTAATCCAGCTGCATCAGAGAATAGCTACATTTTTGAGGAAAAATATTGTTTCATGAATTTTCAATGGAGTAGGCATTGTGAATGGCTTTATAGGCATCCTTTTCCTTGTTTCTACTAGTTTCCTTTGTAGTCTCTCTGTTGTAGGCTTCTCTTGGTCTGTTTCTCTCTGAAATACTGAATTTACTTGAACAATGGTTGAGCCCCTAAGATGCACCCAGCTTTCTCTGAGCATTATGAAATTATAAATAAAAATGAACAAGATTCGGAGGGGAAGAGAAAGCCAATTCACCCCTGCCTTAATTTCCCAGAAATGTTTCTAGAAAAAGGAAAAGGAATTTAACAACAGAAGTTGGTGTGTATGAAGGAACATTTTATTTTATTTTAGAAAACATCTTAAAGACCTAAAACAAGATACAAGTCAAGGCCTTTCTTGAAAAGTATTTTGTACTTTTCTTGGGTTTTCTTTAAAATTAAATCTATTTTAACTGATATGTAAAAACAAAATTTTATGTATCTGTGTTGTTCCATGTGATATTTCCATACATGTATACATTGTGTAATATTTAGATTACATTTAACTTTCCTCCTCAAACAGTCATCATTTCTTCATGATGAAAATATTCGAAGTACTTTCTTCTACCATTTAATATGTTTTTGATACTGTGTTTATTTCCTTAAGCATTTTTAACATAGTATGTTACATTTCTTGTCTAAGTTTTATATACTTTGAAATTTTCAATGGGTCTGTTTTACCTACTAATTGTTTCAATGTAGTCTTGCTTACAGTGCCTTCTTTGATCATTTGCATTTCATATCAGAATGTGAGTTTAGATTAAAGAAAACTTTGTCTATAAAATTATTGGGCAATCTGGGCTGATAATATTGTTTTCTTCAAATCGATTTATGTTTACGTCTGCCACTTTGCTTTGAGCCCCACAAGAGACTGCATTCTTGTTTAGTTTCTTTGGTGGGGGTTTTCTAGAGAATATGTTTATAATTAAAATCCTAAACCAGGATAGGACAGAATTGTGACTAATCTAAGAGGCGATGGCTTCTTCCTACCCGGGTCAATGGAGACAAGCCTCCTTGTCAGCTGTCTTTGTCAGCAGAGTGACTGGTTCTCTTCTCTCTGAATATTGAGTGTAGATTTTATCACAGCCCTTCATCATCTGCTTTTATGAAGTACCTCATTATACTGGACAAGCCCAGGTTCTGTATCTTTGCATTCTGTGATGAGCTTAATAAGTCTTTGGTTATTGGATCTGCTAATTCCCAAATAGGATTGTACTCTAGCTTCATATTTTTCTCCATTTATTTTCTGCACATCCATTGCATTACTAAAAGCTCATTCTGAGTAAAAGGGATGGTGAGGCTGAGTCTGGAGAGCGAACACACTTCTTGTCTGTCATATCATCAGCAATAGATCTATCATTTTGTATGAAAACAAAATTTTGATTACTGTATAAATTTCTAGAATATCCAGTTATTTTATATTTAATGTTCTGAGTATCCTCTCTGTTTTATTCCTCTTATCTCAGTTCCTATTTATCTTGTGAATACAGATGCTCACCTATGTTTTCTTGTGCAGTGCTTCCTTTCCTGTGCATGCCCCTTCTCATGGAAATATTTTGCTAGATAGTCAAAATGTAGTTAGTTTTTATATTGGTTAATATTGCAATAACAATATAGGATTTGCTCTTTCCTAAAAAGGTTTAATTATTGGGCAAAATTTTCTTTAGTTATCACGCACTCTATTTATATATAGCTAGTTTGTCAAAGACAAATAGCTTTATGGATACGAATTAGGTCCTTTATTTAACAGAATTTTGATATATTAAGTTGAATAAATACTACATTTGCTATGGTATGAAATACGTAATAATATAACATATAGTCTGGCATTAGATTATATTTTCCAAAATTTTCATTTCCCATTTTCTGGAATAAAAAATTAAGGGAAATAATCAGTATTTTTGGACCTGCGGTTTACACATCATTTGTTAGAATTAATATTTAAAACCACTATTAATTGTTACTCAAATATGTTTTTCAGCTCTTCTTCAAGTGACAATTTCACTTAGCAAAGTAGAGCTTAGTGTGGGCGAATCTAAATTCTTCACATGTACAGGTATGTATTCCTTTAAATAATTTCAGATAACATGTTTTGTGCTTTAACTATTGGTATAAATATATTTATTAGCCAAATTTATATATGAAAACCTTAATTCTCAAAAGTGACACCTTATCATTGGGTTTATATGATTGGAAAAATAAAAATAATCACATTTTGAAAATATTAAAAATAATGATTTTATTTGTTATTTTCAGCTTATTAATTTTGACATTAAAACTAGATCATTTAAAAAAACTTATGAGATAAAATGTTTCCATAAATTTTCAATTTAAGTAGTATAAACAGAAATATAAGGATTTGTACAAAAATATAATTGATTCATTTTTGTAAATAAGCAATAAATAAATCAGATAAAGCATGGTGAATTATACTTTCACATTAATGAAAATTATATGATTCAGAAAAAAATAACCTTTTAAAGGGTGAATATTTATTCCAATATCAAATAGTTAATTAGGAAAAGTTCTGAAAGATTTTTGTAGCTATTAAACGAATATATCATGTATTACAATGCCTATAGAAAATAATATAAGCCTAATTGAGTTTAATCATGAAGATTTCAGAATTCTTTCAAAAGATATTTAAGTACTTGAACATCAAAATCTAATTCAACATAATATATAACTCTCAAAAGCACAAATTCCTTGTCTATTTAGATTTATTATATTCATATTTATGTAAACAAGCATGAAGTATTAACTATTCATGTAATGTCAAAATCTCTTATAAGACTGTTTTAGAATTGTTTCTGTTTGTGATTGTTCCAAAAGCAAGTCACAACAGGATTACAGTATGTATTCTTGATTTAAAAAACATTGAAAAGTTAGCTTGAGAACTGTGGACATGCTTAAATTATTATTAAATTTATGAAAAGTAAAAACATAATGAAAATAGCATTCATAAAGCATATCTAAACCCGGTGTGTATAAATTGCCACGACATACTAAAACTAATAGAACCTATGTATGTTCATATATCTACATGCCAAGGTGTCTAAATTGAAATGTCTATTAATACATATTTTGTTTATTGACTAATGAAAAAAAATCAAAGAATAGGGCAATAATTTGTCCAGTGCAAATAGTGTCAAAAGAACTTTGACATAAGTGTACATAAGGTCCCTGTTTCTACAGGTCATTTTGTTTTGTCTACATAGCTATAAACAGATGTATGCATACTAAATTGTGTGATATAGTGACAGAATAATACAATAGTTAAAAAAAGAATGATGAAAATAAAGTAAAATTTTATTATTTTATATTCTGTCATCACCATGTAACATAATTGACTATGTATAAAATGAGATAAAATGATGACTTTAAGTTAAAATATTAATTAATACTACTCAGTGGTATTGATTTTCTTATTATGAAGCCAAACTAAGTGAATCTTTTTTTCTTTTACATAAAGGTATATTACCAAGAGTGGTACCATAATCATTGAAGTGGTTTTATTTAAATTAATTTTAGTAATAAAATAAGAATCTCAAAAAGTGATATGGAAAATGATGCATGCCAGAATACTTACTTATTTTTTTTTCTATGTAGATGCCAATAAAGTTCCAAGGCACCTTAAAAAACATGAATATTTCAAACCCAATAAAATATTTATATCTTAAATTTAACCTAGAAGGTGTAGACATATACTGTGATATAAATAGAATGTGTCATGTACAGCAAATTAATAGTATACTACATGTTCAAAACTACAAAACCATTTTGTTATATTTGTTAATAGTTTGTCTAATAGGCCATTCTTATAAATATGGAAAATTTTGGTCAAAATTAATATGTATTAGAGATTTTGTAAGAGATTTGTGACTACCCTCTGAAAATCCATAATAAACTTCCCATGATAATGAGATTTTATACCATATTATTTTGAAAGAAAGTATTCAAAATATTTCTCACCAGATCATGTTTAATGTTGAATTTACAGTACAAAAATGAAGTTGTATATTGTTTAAAATTAAAGTGCTGCTCATTTTAATTATCCTTTTTAGCTTCTTTCTGGGGGGGGCAGGTACCAAGGATTGAACTCAGGGGCACTTGAACACTGAGCCCCATCCCCAGTCCTATTTTGTATTTCATTTAGAGACAGGATCTCACTGAACCTCATTTTTGCTGAGGCTGGCTTTGAACTCCTGATCCTCCTGCCTCAGCCTCCAGACCACTTGGATTACAGGCATGCACCACTGCACCTGGCTTCTTTTTTAGCTTCTTTATGAAAGAAGGAATGAAAAGAAATACTAACCCCTAAATTCATTATTCTATAACTATTTTGGTTTTGTATTTCCGTTCATAAAAAGTGAAGATAATAAAACTATGATCCATTTGAAATTCTACCTAAATTTTCAAAATTTTGCTAAATCCTATCTAGTTTGTAATTTAAAAAAAAAAGATGCTATTTTTTAAAAATCATTTCTTAGGGACAAAAAGAAAAGAAAAATTTTCTTGTTTGAAGAGGTCCTGAAGATATTAGTTAGCTACAGTCATTTTCTCCCAATGCTTTTGAGTTAATAAAGTATGTTGCTTCCCCAAATTATTTCTTATGTAATTGAGTCAAATACGTCCTTTTGATGACTAAAAAAAATGCAGGTATTTCTAGATATTAAAAAGTGGTTAGTAACCTAGATTCTGAATTGGAAAACTTAAATAAATATTTACACACTAATGATTTGGTTGTAATTGCCTAGCAGGATAAGTATCACTTCAATACATTCTAATTATCATAATTTAATAGTTAATAATTTCAGATTAAAATGATAAAACTACTCATATCAGTTGGGGAAAGATATAAGGGCTTCATTTTTAAAGTGTTTATTTGCCTTATCTGTATGAGTTTAACAACTTGAGAAATTTATTCAAATTAAGAATTGTCAATGGTAAAAATTTGTTTTGTAAATTACTTACATTTTCCTAATTTGTGCTTTATCAGGAAAAATAGTGCTATCCCTGTCCCTAAGCAAAAAGAGTCAAGCATGTGAAGATCTTATTAGTATTCATATTTCTGATCAAATATTATCTATCACATGGAGTTTATGTCTTGCTTATAAAATTTTCGTATTTAAGTGCAGTGATAATCCACAGATAATTAATGTAAAATTTCAACTCTCCTTGCTTCAGTACTACATAGTAAATTTCCTACATAACTTTTAGATTTTGCTTACTGGAACAGGATTTAGTCTTTAATTTGAAGAAACAAAAATGAACATGTGTGTTAACATTTGTGTTTACTTTCAATTTTGTACAATACTCAGATTTCCAGTTTTCTATTTACATTTTTCTAAATTGTTATAACTGATGCAGAATAGTAAATGCCACTGCCAAAACAAACATTTAAAACATATTTCCGAATGCTTCTTTTCCTTGGATTTTTGCAGCAATTGGTGAACCTGAGAGTATAGATTGGTATAACCCTCAAGGAGAGAAGATAACTTCAACTCAGAGGGTAGTGGTACAGAAAGAAGGCGTTAGGTCAAGATTAACCATCTACAACGCTAACATAGAAGATGCAGGGATATATCGCTGTCAAGCAGCAGATGCCAAAGGACAGACACAGGAAGCTACGGTAGTTTTGGAAATTTACCGTAAGTCATGTATTTGTAAGTTTCAGTTGATAGAAGACTTATAAAGAATTCAAGCAAAATAAAATGTTAGTAATTCAAACTAACACTCAAGAACAACCTATATACTGTGCAATGTTTTACAACCTATGTAGACATCAGCTTATTTGTGTTTTACTTTAGTGCATCTTAGAATTGATAATGGATCATAGGTAGTTATAAACATAAATGGAGCCAATTATCTTAGTTAAATCATATTTTAAAATGTGCTTCAACAATCTCAGTACGCTAGAAAATAATTGGGTAAATAAAATACAGTGGTTAGTTGGTGTTATGAAATATATTTGTTGTACATTTTCAGTTTAAAATAAAGGTCACAATTAGAACCAAGTATATTGCAGAAAGTTATAGCACTGACCATTCTAGAGTGAGAACTGGGATGACAGTCAATGAACAGAAGTAGACAGAGACAGAGCTAACAACTCAACTAGAAGAAAATCATATGTTGTCAGGACTCATGAATAATAGATGTTTTCATTAACAGGATTTTCCGTATTTACACTTCATTTTACACTTAAGATGGATTGTGTCCTGTCCCTTTTTCTTGTATATATTTAGAAATCATTAAACTGTTAAGGTTCACTGTGAAGCCTGTTAACTCCCTAAATTTGAAACCAGCCCTATCAAGTACTTTTATGACCATGAACAGATTGCCTGACCTCTCTGCCTTCAGTGTCCTCTACTATAAATACGTGTAATAGGACCTACATCATACACAGAGTTGTTCTGAGGACAACATTAACTGATATTGCATGAAATATTTAGAACAATTTCACCATTAATGTGGGGCATTTAATTTTTTACCAGTGAAAACTTATATAAATATTTTGAGTAAAAATTTGTACAAGCTCTCACTTCTTTATACCATCTTAAGTTATTGTTATTCTAGAAATAGGAAATGTAAAAGAATATCAGATCATTCCCATAGTAAGACTTTTGGTTTGGTAACCAGGGAAATTTGTTAATACATTATTGGTTTCATTTATCCTGATTTAGCTCCCTGCCCCCCTTTTGCATTATGCATTTCCAGAAAAGTTATCTTCCTTATTTATGTGATTCACTATTGGTAACTATTTAATACACAGCAAACAATGAAATTGAGTGATCATTTTACTATTTTAAATGATACACTAGAAGATCCCTAGTGTTTTATTGTGAATGTAAAAAACTCAATTGTGGTGTTAAAAAAAAAAAAAAAACATTGCTTTTGTAGAAAACATCTTATATAAGCACAAATATTCTTCTTAATTCTTTCATTAAACATATTTATTGAAGTCTACCCAGTACTGTTCTAAGTCAATTCTATTATTTACATAATAAATCATCTAAAAATTACAGGTGGTGTATTTGCCTGCTATACGATTTTATAGAAAATAAATTAGGCAGAGATGGCAAATGTTTATGTGGAAAGGTCTATTGTTTTTACTAAAGAGTTTGGTCAGAACTCTTCATGAATTGGGGGAGGGCAAATGCCCTGTTCAAAAGCGAATCTGGAATGTTAAAGGAAGACACTGTTACTGGAGCACAATACTGGAAAGAGGAGAAATTAGGATCAGAGTTGTAGATTGGACTCCAGATCACATAGGACCTTCTATGGCACTGGGAGGACTTTGCAATTCTCAGTGAGATGGAAAGTTACTAGGAAAGGAATCTGTTAATTTGGCTTGATGTTTTAAAAAGACCTAGGCTTACCTAGGGATCATACAACATAACATCAATTAACATCTATTTTAGAATATATGTTTTTTTTAGGATAAATAAGTGATCATTCTGTTATGATCTGTGTTATTTTCTTGATTCAGAAAAACTCACTTTCAGAGAAGTGGTTTCTCCTCAAGAATTCAAACAAGGGGAAGATGCAGAGGTCATTTGCCGTGTTAGCAGTTCACCTGCACCTGCCGTCACCTGGTTGTATCATAATGAGGAAGTCACTGCAATTTCCGACAGTTAGTATTTTGGTAACTCCCTAAGTTATACGTTCTAAAACCATTGCAAGTTTTTTAAATTACTGAATATATGTGGCTGATTAAAAAATGTAATTTTTGACCCCAAATGTCAAACCACTCCTTTTAGAACCTTAAAATTAGACACTGTAATTTGGGGCACTATGAACTTTAGGTCAAATTTAACACTTCTTTTGTTTCTATAACATGTTATAAGAACATAGTCATGACCAACAATTACATATTGCTATGGATGCTTTGATCCTAGAGTTGAATATGTTTGGCAACTGGTTTATCTTAGGAAGCTTTCTGCAGTTTACTATATGAAACAAAAAGTTTGTTTACACTTTTTCTACTTTTAGGGAAAATTTAATGTATTTTTAAGAAATGAATGAAGAACAGCTACAGATTCATAAATTCAACTTTTTATAATTCAAAATAAATTAAAATAATTTATATATGGAGGCTGAGACAAGAGGGTCACAAGTTCAAAGCCAGCATCAGCAGTGAGATCCTAAGCAGCCCATTGAGACTTTGTCTAAATAAAAGATAAAAAGAGCTCATGATGTGGCTTGGTTGATAAGCACCCCTGAATTCAATCCCTGGTAACAAACAAAGAAAACTGATAATAATTTATATGTGAATTCTGTTTATTATTCTGAAGCTGTTCTTTAAAAGACACATAAAAGTTCTAAGTACTATGATAAGACATATAGAATAATTGAAAGAAGTGTAAATTCACTCAAATTGTCTTCATGATTTTGATTCAGATTGAGATAAAATTCCAGAATGATATGACATCTGTAATTGAAAGCATAATTTGCTTACATTATGCTCCTTTATCATTGTGCATAGGGAGCATTTTCAATTTAGAATATTTTTCAATGCACCTGCATTGCAGAGAGGAACAAAATAATTGAATCTTTTTAAGCATTTTTCATCTTGCATGATTCTGTTTTGTGTTTCTAAGAGATGAAATTTCTATAGCATAAAAGACAGAAGGTAGACAATTTCTATTTTTGAATATGTAAATAGAACATACCATAATCATATACAATAGTCATTTTTTTAAATTTAATTTTTCAGACCTTAATATGGTCAACACTAGTCAGTTATTAATGAAAACTCATTGTTTCTAAAAGCTAATGAGGAATACTACTTAATTATCTCATATTTTATTTGAGTAACTGCTTTAGATTTTATTAACAAATTATATGAGTACTTGTGTGTGATATATTTTTGTTTTTTTCTGCCTCTCAATCATACAGAAAAGGAAGTAATTTTATTACAGCTAAATGATAATATCTAAATATTTTCACATTATCTAATATTGCTCACATATACATCTGGTTTATTACACATTTTAATTACAAGAAGGTTTTTTTTAAAAATTATATTTTTAAAGAAGACACTTGAAACAACACATCAAAACAAAGATTAATAACAAAGTGTAGTGGTGATGGAGGAGTAATATTTCTATGATTTAACAGATAATTTTTTCCCAGTAATCCAAAATTGAATGATGTAAACTTGGAAGTTCATTTTGGTTCTACTCTTTTTCTTGGCCCTGAAATAATGAAAAGTTTTTCTAGCTGTTGTGCTCTGAAATCACATTCTTAATCTTTCAAAAATGGAGTATTATATCTGTTTCAAACAATCATTGTAATTTATAAATAACATATTAGTCATATTGAAATGAATAAACTATTGAGGTAGATGTCAGTCTCTCAATAGATGAAATTTATCTATTTATCTTTCTTATTCCTTCTTAATGAGTTTTTAAATTTTTAGAATCAATTTTACCCAAATTATATGCCATTAGACTATAACTTGAAATAGAAAGTTCAATTTAGGGGAGTGACTAAAGTTAAATATGAATGAGCTAAGGTGCATAGCAGGCAACTAAAGAAAGTAAACGTATGAGGAAGGCCAAACTTTTCTAACCTTGTTACAATGAAAGATCTTGACATATACTTCATTGCTGAACAATTTGTACATTTATCACGGTTTCACAAGAGGTATCTGTTATGGTTTACCTATGAGGTATCCCCCAGAAGCTCATGTGTGAGACAATTCAAGAAGATTTAGAAGTGGAATAATTGAGTTATGAGAGTCCGTGATGGTTTGGATGTAAGGTGTCCCCCAAAAGATCACGTGTGTGAATATACAAGAATGTTCAGAGGAGAAATGATTGGGTTAGAAGAGCCTTAACCAATCACTTAATTAATCCACTGATAGGGATTAACTAATTGGTAACTGTAGGCAGGTGGGGTGTGTTCTTTGGGTTATGTATTCTGTCCATGGTGAGGGGAATCTCTCTTTGCTTCCTAGTGCCATTTCCTGAGCATCTTTCCCCCTCTACTGTCTTCTACCATGGGCTCTGTCATACTTTGGACCCAAGGCAATGGAGCTGGACATCTGTGGACTAAGACCTCTGAAACCATGAGCCCCCAAATAAATGTTTCCTCCACTAAAATTGTTCTTGTCAAATCATTGGTCACAGTAGCAAAAAAGTGACTAAAATTACCTTATTTAGTCCCTTTCATTTTATAGCTATTGGGATATGATTAGGTTTATAACACTGAACATAATTTGTCTAGATTTTTAAAAAATTGAGTATTTTTTTAAATATTTCCCTTTCCATAACTTTAATGTGATAGATAGTAAAGTTTATATGTAGGAGATCAGACAGTACATGGTTTGGAAATGTTCAATTTATCCCTTATGCTTTTATAGTAGCTATGTGGTAGATAATCTGAATTAGGACTTTTGAAGAATAATTTGAATGGGTTTGTCCATGTTACTCATTGAAGGGAGATATATATGCTAAATAAGAAAAGCATGTAAGAACAAAGAGTGACATTTTGTTATAAAAGTTGAATAACCTGACTTTTATTGTCACCCAGAAGGAGAGAGATACATATGCTCATTGAACACAGGCCAGTGTGAAAATGATCTTATAAACTTTGAAAAGTCTTTGGTTAAAGTATTCTTTCTGTATCACAAATAATTAATAGACTCATATTCTTCATTAAAATATTAATCTACTTCTGGTATAAAAGATTCATTTAACAGTTATGGATTACCCTGTGTATTCCTGCTTGAGTTCTAGATGCATTGATTCATAGTAAACAAGATAAACAAAGTTCACTCCCTTCAAAATACTAATAGTCTTCAAAGGGGTAAATAGATAAATCAGTGAAAAATAGTATATTGTGTCTTTGGGAAGGAAAGTGGTAACAGAGAAAAAAAAAAGAACACTGAAAGAGTTAGGGAAAAGAGAGGTGTCAAAGATGTTTGCAGGGAGAAAAATATTTACCTTTAAATATAAATAGCACTTAGGTGATGAGAATTTAATAAACAGAGAACACCATGTGCAATAGCCCAGAGGTGAAAACAACATGGATGACATACTTCAGACACTGGTATAGTTTATTATAACTAGAACTTTTGAAAAAGTACAAGTTGAATATTTGCACAAGTAGATAATTAAAACCAGTATTTGCCTCAGTCTGGCTGCAGCAAAATAACTGGGGGGTGACGAGCAACTTGTGTACATTGATACAGCAGGAGTGTGAGCCGTTTATTGTAGGACAGGAGGGGTATATATACATTCCACACAGCTTATCTAATTAACATAAACTAGATACATCAGTCAAACAATAAGGAATCTCCACACTTAATGGCTCTCTGGCATTACTTAACCACTCCCTCTGGCAAAATGCCAGGCGCCATCCTGACTTGTTTACAGACTCTAACAAGTATTTGTTAATCAAGGACTAATAAGAGAAAAGGTAGAGAGGAATGCCAAGTCTGGTCAATATGGTTTTGACATCACTGCTAAGGAGTTTGGAATTTATTCAAAGGGGAAATAACTGAAGTGTTTTAATGAAGGCAATGACATGATCTAATGTGTATTTGAAAAGGATATTAGTGTTTCAGTTGGATGGGATTCAAGGAAAAAATTCCAGGCCCTGAGATCAGCTCAGAATTAAATGAAATAATTGCCAAGGGAAAGCAAGATTTTGGACTAAAGACATAAATAATAGGATATAGAGTATTTTTGATTATGCAGAGTTAAGGATATGTCAAGGGTAACTTGGAATTTGCCTTGAACAAAGTGTTCTATAACTTATGGAATTTATCTTGAGCAACTAATTTCCTATAAAGAATTGTAAAGACATGTGAAGACATAGAAAAGCAGGTACAGATGCTAAGCTAAATGCCAGATATGCTGATTGTTGTACTTATAACCATTCTGAGTAGTACATCTGGATGGATAGAGTTTGTAAAGGCCTGTAATCCTAGCAGCTGGGGAGGCTGAGACAGGAGGATCACAAGTTTGAGGTCAGCTTCAGCAGCTTAGAAAGGCCCTATGCAGTTTAGTGAGACCCTTTCTCAAAATAAAAGATAAGAAGGGTTGGGGATGTGGCTCAGTTTGCTAATCACCCCTGGGCTTAATTTCACGAACAATCCCTCCCCCGCCCCCCAAAAACAAAGATAGTTATGGAAGACAGAAACATTTTAATCTGAAGAAAATCTGTAAGTCATCAAAATATATATGATGATTGGTCATAAGGATAGATGAGACAAACCATTGAGTAGGCATAGAATAAGATTTAGTAAGAAAGAAAGGCTTTAGAAATAACTTGTTTAAAGAAGTATAAAGCAGAAAATTTGTTGGGTATTTTCTTATTCAATTTATCTTTCTCACATTATAATTAAAATTGAGTTTCTATGTAACTGATAAAAACATAATTGGTAATAGTGAATATTTCTAAAACCTATAGTTAGGGGGGTGACTGAAGCATTGCTTTCTTTAGATATCTTCTGGAAACACATAAGGGTAATGCATTGCTTCTCTAGTTTACTAAGAATCATCATGAGGCTTTGAAAATATATTTGGAATTTGACACAATCTTCACATAACTTTTTTCAGTGTTGAAAAAAAATTTGTATACATAAGCATGTATAATAGTGTTTAGCTTTACCAGGTAATTATTGTTTTCGTAAAGTTTTTAGAGTTAGTAAAAGTAATGGATTAAAAAGGCCATTTGGGACTAAAATTTTCCAATTAGAAGAAACACGTTTGCCATTAAATATGAGTATTATGTGATTCTAATTCTTTTTTATATAAACACTGCCTTCCTTATTAAAATAATACTCACCCTTACTCTTTTTTCTTAATTCAAATAACACATAATAACTAGAGAGTATAGAGGTAAAAGATGATACATATTTTAGCAAGTTAAAATGATCTATGTATGATTAAGAACATCCTTCCTAATTCTGAACATTATTAAAATATATTTTTCTAACTTCCAACCACAAAATTTGACAAAAAAAATTTTAATTGTTTTTGAAATTTCATAAATTTTATGAATTCTGAGTTACTCCAGAACTTCTTATGTGTTAAACTTTGAAACTTCTAACAGATTACCTTTCTTACTTCCCAGTCTTTCCTTTGGTGGCAAAAGTTCAAGTCTGTGATTTATTTTTTAGGGAAAGGTTTACATAAACATTTTTATCTCTCTAATTCTTAGAGTCAACCGAAAGAAGACATAGACATTAGGGAAAAGCTTGTAAATCCTGGGATGAAAGTCATGTGTCTGGGCTTTGTAATCAGTATTTTCATTCTGTGGCAGCCTCTGAATCTACAGAGTTCCACTCCCTATCAGAGAGTTAACCACTTTTTTGCCTGCTTTAAGGCTGTCTATTGCCTGATGAATCCCTCTGTGATTCCCAGCTTAAACTTTCTCCCATCTTACCAAGGAATTGCTCTGGCAAACTAAACCCAAAATCTGAATGGCCTATTACCATAGCAGACTATTTCTTACTCACAGCATGTCCAGTTGGCAGCAGGAGTAGCAGCAAGATTCTACAAAGTGAATCTAGTAAGCAATCCAGGTGATGAAGCTCTCTACCTTTTTTACAAATGGGTTTTGAGATGTCCCTATCATATCATAACATATCAATCTCTATCATACCAGCAGATAGAGGAAAAGCAGTAAAATTGAACAGCATTACAAAAGCAATCTCCAGACTGTAAACATCCTAGGTACTGGTACCCTAAAATAATGGCAATTCTACTTGGTCAAAATATTCAAAGTAGATAAAAGACTGAATCTCAGTAACCAATGTATCTTTAATACTATATCTACTATATCCAAGGCCAAAAAAAGAAGTTTAACAATAAATATGGATGCATTAATTAAAATTTATGATATTTCCTGTACAACGTGTTTTAAAATGACTAGATGTAAGATAATTCTTTACAAGATAAGAAGGGAATAGGTTTTAGCAATGCAACAAAATTGTGATCATTATAAATGAGACTAGACTTAGAAAATAATGTCAAGCAGAGATGCTGTTTGGCATCTCAGATTGCTATAAAATGTTATTCTAAGCTATCAGTTAATGCATGCTGTATGTCAGATTCTTTTTGCATATATTCATGTGTACACACATAAAATAGAATCTTAAAAAAATATTAAAAGCAAATCTATTAATTCCTAAAGAAGATTACCTTGTGTTTCCCTAAAAAAAAACTTAAATAAATTTATGTTACAAGTATTTTTTATATACTTTATGTGATTTGAACATTATTATATCACTTAGCTGCCTCCTCAGGATATGTAGAATTATTAGTTTAATTATTTTTGAGAAAGGATGTTCAATAAAATTTCCTCCATTTTCTATACACAAGTTGCTACATATTTGCAGTCAAAAGTTTTCAAGGCTACAATATCTAATCTCCTTGCATTTTTCTTTTTTTATGTCATTTCTGCATTCAAAGCACCAACGAGAAAATAATAACCTAACCATTTTATGTGGATATAAAGTCTTGAATGTATTTCAGGGAAAAAAAAAAGGTATAACAAGTCAGTGTAGAGTGGAAAAACTGAAGTTATGAAATTACATTTTACTTTCAAATTTGAATTTGTTTGTTGATGAAAAGTTTGATAGTGTCAGACAAGTGCCATATTTTAACTCTTAGCAATTTTGAGCATACTGGACTCAGCCTTCAATTACTGATGTCATTTCCTCCCCTTTGCTTACTCTCCAGGTCGTTTTGCCATGTTAGCTAACAATAATCTGCAGATTCTCAACATCAATAAAAGTGATGAAGGTATATATAGATGTGAAGGAAGAGTGGAAGCCAGGGGAGAAATTGACTTCCGTGATATCATCGTTATTGTTAATGGTAAGCAGTAAATAATTTGTACATATTCTGTTGTTCATTTTAACAATACACTTATTAAACTCAAAACTCACCTTGTCCCTTAGTAAATATCTTCTATGTCAAGAAGAAATCCCCCCACCTCTCTGGTAACATCTGTTATATAAAAGTATTAAGAACAGTGTCTCTGAGTTAGTAATGCTATCACCCTGACATCATTTTTCAGAGTCTTTAATTGTCTTTTGTCAATGTTTGTAGTTTTTCAAAAAATGTCAAATGAAACAAAGTATCAGATTTTACTTTGCGGTTAGATGAATTTCTTATTGTTGATATTAGCTTATTTGACTTTAATTGAATTCATAAGGTTATTTTTCAATATTAATGGACATTAATAGCTAGTTTATGAAATCAGGAAGTTATCTTCTCCTTTGAGCATTCTTCTCTCACTTTATTCCTTTCAATCCTAGTACTTTTTCAGTGCTTCATAATACCTTTAAGACAAAAACAAAATGACTTTGAGGTATGGAAAATCTTATGTGGTTGACCCCTTCTTTAAATATTCTGTCATGAACAACCTATACTTTAGCCATATGAAACCAGGATTTAGAGAAGATCTAGCTTTTCTGAGGCCTTTTTAGGAATGCAGAGTCCAATAATACTAAGGTTGACATAGTCAGTGGAGAATTTACTTAAGGTGCAGGAGGAGGTTTTCAGTGTACAGAGGATAAGTTTTAAAATGAATGCATCTGTCTGTATCTGTATTTTTTCTATATATATTTTCTATATACATTTCCTATTATATTTATTATATATAATAAGAAAAGGTAGCATAGAATAGCTATTTAGCTTATCCAACCAACTATGCAGTATACTTTGGTTCCTAAAAGGAAAGTTATGTAAGAGCATTTCATGATGGGCAAGTCTTTGTACTCAATATTCTCCTGTCAGCTTGAAGATTATAACATAAATTAATATATGTGAAGTTTTTTTTAAATACGCTAAGTTCATAAGAAGTAGTATGTCATAAGTATTTATCATAACAGGATTGTGATTTGTGATTACATACACACATGTATTTGTAACTGTTTATATGTAGATTTTCTACTGAAACATTAATTTGAGTATGATATTTAAAAAGAAATGTCATGTGGCAGGCATAGTACACTAATTCCTTACTATTCTTTCATATATTATGATTTCTAGAAAACTTTAATACATTTATTGTGTGTTCTCACCTGTTTTCCTACTTTAATCTGTGAGTGTTTGTATGCTTGTGATTTTATTCATTTTCATGGAATGAGTATCTGGGTACCAGTGTGTATCTGAATAACACATGTTTGAATCTTCCAGTCCACCATGGTCTGTTGGTCTGTGTTCAAACTGGACTATTTAATTCTATATTTTTTATATATATATACTTTAGAATCTATAAAAGCTGGAATGCTTTTCTTGTGCCACCTGAAAAAGTCATATTGATAATGTGATTTTTTATCTGTCCATCTGATCCTCCAAATGCAGTTCTTCATCTGATTTTAACAGAATCAACCACAGATTCTAATCTAACCTTCTTTGCTGAAACAGTGCCAATTAGTTACATTTTCTCTTGGACAAAAACTATTACACAATAGCATCCTTATAACTCTTTTCTTCAAAACAATAGTTTTCACAAAATTTACTATTAGAAAAAAAATTCACCATTAGCTGATGCCCCCTGGATGATGCATTGGAACACTGTCAAGGACACATTAATGAATGCCAGTAAGACAACTCTGCTTTTCTCTCTCATTTCCTCTTGATTCCACAGGAAAATTATTGTGTTCCAGTCTAAGGGACTCTTGTCCTGCTTAGTGACTCCTTTTAAATATTGGGGTACTCAGAAAGTTTTTCCTTATTTTTCTTTCATGAAACCTCTTGAAGATTTTTCAGTGTAAAGTTTGAAATACAAAATATATAAATAAGTAAAATGTACTACTTTTTTGGTGTTAGTTTATCTTTCTTCAACTATAAAATTTGACTCTTGTTCTGTGACTTTTCCCTCAATTCATATTCCAAGCTTTCTCACTAAATTGATACTAATTTTATCTTTACAGATTTGGCATTATCCTGGTACTCTTCCAATACTCTTCTTCCCCCTCAAGTGTATTGACCTCTTGACCAAATGCTCAAAACAACTGTGAATATATACTCTGCTTCCTTGTGAAATCTTGACTCTGCAAGATCTGTTCTTAATTTCTTTGTCTGACCTTTTCACATTTTTCTCTCATGTTCCATCCTTTCAATTCAGAATCTTTTGTAAACTGCAGTTAGCTAAATGATATCCTTGCTAGATCTAACAGATATTACATAGCATCTGAAGTACTAACATTACTAAATGTTGTAGATCCTATTTTTGTCTTGACTCTATGATTTTCTTACTGTATTACTCAGTTCCTATGTAAAATTTTTCACAAAAATTCTCCATGTCCCTTGAAGAAGATTGAATATCTTCTAATGGGAGTTCCATGCGTTCCCTCCTAACTGATTGTGTGGCTTGGTCTGACCAATGGCAGTTAAGCAAGTATAACATGAAGAGTGGCTTAACTCAGACTTCATGACACTTCATGTTTTCTTCAAACTCTCTTGCTCTTCTCTTCTGCCATGAAACTACATGACTTAAATAGGGACGATTTTATCCTGGACACCAGATTGTAGACATAAGAAACAGAGTCACAGCTGACCTGCAGTTGCAGACCTGAGTATCAAATAAATCATATTTATAAGTACTGTTATCTTAACATTGTTTGTAATTTTATGGAGTTATACACATGTAATGCCAGTGGATTGTTTCTTCCTTATACAATTAACTTAAACATTGTCTCACCTAAAATTACTTCAGTAAGTTTTCCTAGACAGTTCTACTCTCACTTTCCCCTGATGTTGACCCTTTATCATGTCTTTTGTACCAACTTACTAAAACTTTAGAAATTTAACTTAATATTGTTTACTGACATTTAAAAATTGTTTTATATTGCTTTCATAAATTTATTCAATAGGTACATACAGAATTTTGGCTATATTTCACACTATGTTATACTTGTAATACCAACAGACCTACCATAGCATCAGTTTCATCAGGTTGTTTAGAACTGATCTCAACAACTTAAAATAATCACCTTCACTGAAGCCCCTTATTATTTATGGGAAAGATGGATATATATGAATATAATATGTGTAGTTTTAGTGGACCATATACTAAAGCAGGTGGAGACAGAGCATAGAGAACTATGGATGTGTCATTAAAAGCCTGGTCTGTAAAACAAATTTGAGCTGACATTGAGAAGTAAGCAGGCTGGCAAGAGAGTAAGAAAGTTGACAGAAGGATGGAGGCAGGTAGAAAGAACAAGGAAATGAAAGGAGAGCTATATAGTTAGGTCATGTTTGAAGCAAAAATCATCATGGCATACCGGTACACACAGGTAAAAGGAATTACAGATAATTTCAGGATTTGTAATGTGAATTTGAGCTTCCAGAGTAGCAAATACTAGCAGAAATTTGATATGGTATGAACCTTGCTATATTCTGAATTGGATAATTATGAGCTTACAAGAGACATTAAGGTTGAACTGTATCACTTAAGTAACCTGTGTAAAATTCAGATTATAATGACTTGAAGTAAAAATATACACTAACATATAATGAAAAATGAAAATATAGAAGTAAGATACCTTTTATTTTGAGTCTGGAAGAAATGAGTAGAAAATGGGTGAGGCTGTAGATAGATTCACAGTTGGCTTTGGTCAATAATTTAGAGAAATCTTGTTACATGACTTTATCATTCTATTTATAATCAGCTGGATTCTCTCATCTGGCAAATATTAATTTTCCAATGATATTTCCCAAGTATTTCCTATGTTTTTATGTGATTATATCAGTTTTTGTGGTATCACCAATTAAAATTTTAACTTTATACCCTGCCTAAAACTTTTTCTCTAGCCTATCAGTGAGTGACTTCATTTTACTATCATGTCAGGTTTGACTCTTGAGCCACTATTTGAAATCTTTCAAAAGCAGATTAACAGAGAGATTTGTTGAATTGTCTGGCCAAATTTAGTATGAATTCCTGAACTCTTTTAAGTATATTAGGTAAATTATATAGACACAAACATGCCCACTTATGCACAAATCATGGATATACTATTTTAAAAGAGGTCAATATCATCTCTCTAGCTTTTATCAGGTACATCACCCATCATCTGATTTCTAGACTCCATAGTGACTCATTAAAGGTTCATACACATGAAAGAACTGGAAATAATTTAAATTTCAAATAAAGTCAATAGAGGGTTATTTTTATAAAATGTTCTTCTCAGGTATAACGATTCATTATTTTCTAAATCTTTTGTAAATTTCTAAAGAATGCTCTAATAACCTCTAGTTCAAGTTTGGGGTCATGTAGGCAGGAAATTTGAGGTTGAATGAAAAACTCCTACTTGTATAATTTTAAAGCAATTGTGTCTTTGGCCTTCCCTTGAACATGAAAATCAATAGTGGATGATAATGGGCAGAGATATTTGTGCAAGTGTGTGTTTGACTGTGTACTGCATTTTGATATTTCAATGATCTCTGGAAGTGATTTTTATATTCCTACCCATTTTTAATCATTTCAATGTCAATGTAATGAAGAAAAGTATTTTTCTTTTTATAATAAATGAAAAGTTATTTTGTAATTCCTTTTAAGTTGTGCACAATGTGGAATAACATAAAGAATAGTGAGCATAAAAGACAGCTCACCCTGTGCATATTAATAATATAATTGATTCCAACATGCAGACAACTAGTGATTTTGAATAATTTTAATGACTGTAACTTATGAGGGTAATCCATATAATAACATGTAAAATACAAAATATAATTTACAAAAAGATAAATAAGTAAGCATTTGTGAAAACCACACTTTATGTATTTTATCAAATATATTTCTGCTGTAATGCCACTAATGTTGAAAGTGATTCCATTAAATTTGATGTATTAGTATGGGAATGTAA